TCACTGTTGTGTTTTGCCATCTACCAGAAAGAAAAGCTCAGCATGGGGAGAGCACCTGTTTGACAAGTTTTAGCCTGCAGCAGGTTGACAGCTAAGAGAGTTTTCATAAATGTGTCTCTGTGTGTGTACATGTATATACGTACATAAAGCTGGATGGGAGAAGGGTATATTTTAATGAAAATGTGACACTGAATGACAGCACTGCTGCTAGAGAAACTCACTCCCCAGCAAGCTTCCATTCAAAATCTGTAGCTTTGTTTACAACAAAATGCTTAAGAAATGAGACAGTATCATGCTCAAATCTCTCTCCTCCCTCCCCATACGCATTCACTATACAAAGGTAACAATTCTTTAATGAGTTAGTATGTACTGCATAACTCTCTGTAAAACAGTTAAGTATGGAAGGATGGGGGATCAAAAGCAGGATTTTTATGGCTGGCTGAATTGAGTTAATTTGTTCCCTTTTGAATGTTTGTTTTTTAAACGCTGCTGGGTGTATTTTTCTACTTAAGTGTTATGGCAACTACAAAACTTGTACAGGAAAGAGTTCTGTGGGGAAATGTTTTTTATTCATTTCAAAAGTGAAACCCCAAAACTCCTTGATATCCTGAACCAAGGATTTTTGGAATATCTACCTTATTGCCTGGAAAAGTTGTGTAGTCAATAACTCCTTTAGTAGCTCAGCAAATGCTGACTTATGAGGCAATTCAAATTAAAGTGGGTTGAAGTGACTTTCTAGAGAGATGTATAAAAGATTTCCCAGCTACATTGCTGAACTGTTTATATGAAAAAGCATAACAGAATAGCAAGACCAAGGCAGCATCAGGAAACTACACCTACCCCCACAGGATGCTAGGAGAAAGGGACTAAAACTTCTCTGCTGTCACTGTCTCCATTGTGTGTTGTCTGGCACTGTCTACACCAGGAGATGCTGGGCGAGATGTTTTAAAACCCTTTTCTGCCATTATGATGCAGTGCCATCCATCTTCACCCACTCCAAAGGATCCTGGGAGAAGTTTAAAAGCTGTTTGTGGCTGTATTCTTCACCCCTTTAAGCAAGAGTTTTTGCTCTTCCTGAATATTTTGTCTTTATTACTTGTTACCATTAATTGACTCTTTTCCCCCTTTGAACTTTAAAATGTTGAAGCTAAAAATTTTAGAAGTGTACCTCTACTCTGAAAAGTAAAAATCTAGAAGTGTTTTAAAAGGTTCCCCTTTATTATCTCCCAAGGACTTCTGGGTCAAATCTGCTCAATTTACAAAAACAACAGTGGTTTTCCTAACTGTCTGCCCTGCAAGCTCCACCTGGATTCTGAAAATCACCTGTGTTCATTTTCTTGATCTCTACACATGTCCAGCAATACATATTCCACAAACAGAACTTGTTCCCTGAACCTGTAAGAATTATTGTGTGGACTGATCCTTGTGGCTACACATAGATAGGTGCTGGAACAATGTTTATAGTGGGGGTGCTGAAAGCCATTAAACAAAACTGCAAACTCTGTAAATGATAGAAACTACTTCAAACCAGGGGATGCTGCTGCACCCCCAGCACTCCTACTTCCAGCACATATGTATAGATCCAATGAGTTCACTGGGAGAAAACTTATGCAGTTCTCCTTGAAGAATCAGTCCCCAAAGGGGCTTGGATATTTGAAAATCCCTGGAATAACATTTTGCTCAACAAAGCCTGAGTTAAGTGCCTAGTCTCCCTGTACAATGCGTAAGATGAGATAGGTGCCTAAGAAAGCAATTCACAAAAGCCAGTATGCTAGGCAGGGAACTGCCTAAACTAGCCAATGGGAGATATTGATGAGAGTGGTGGGTCCCATGCACCTCTTAGGAAGTATGGCATCTTAAGTCCAGACTGCAGGGAGATGTCTTTCTCTATTTTTGTTCCACACCCAGGAACACCTGTCTTGGTGTCAGGTGGCTTAGGCACCCAAGATATTTATTGTGGGAAATGCCTCACTCCACACATGGCAGTGGTGCCCACCTTTTTTTTGCCCAGTGGTTACAGTGCTTGTCTGGGATGTGGGAGAAGCAGGTTCAATTCCTACCTCAGCCTGAGGGTGAGAAAAGATTTGAAGAGGGATCTCCCATCCCTTTCAAGAGGGCACTCTAACCACTGAGCTATGGGCTAATCTAACAGGGGACCTACCTCAGTGTCTCCAGTTGAAGCTATTCAAATGTTAATAAACACTTGTCATTAGGCCAGTAAAAGAGTGAGTGACTGTACAGCCTGGTTAGGGCACCTGCCTAGAAAATGAAAGTCCCAAGGTCCATACCCTGCTCCAATGACTCTTTACTTATGCAACGTGGAACAGCTTTAACAGGAGACACTGAGGCAATCCCACATCAGACTATCCAATAGTTCAGAATTATAGCACTCTCCTGAGAGGTAGGAGACAGCTGTTCAAATCCTTTCTGCCCCCTGGAGTGGGGGGTAATTGAACCCAGGTTCTCCCACATCCAGGCAAGTGTTCTAACAACTGGGCTAAAAGTTATATGGGGTCCATTCACTGCTGAGGCACCTCCTTCTGTCTGTTCTAGGGATTAGCTCATTCCAGGTCTAACACCTCCTTCTGCTTCTTTCTTAATCTTAAATACAAATTTTCCTGTATTTATCTTAAACCACTAAGATTTGCAGGAGAAAAAAGTGGCTTTATGTTGTGAGAAGAATTTTCTTTTGCAGGCCTGGTCTACACTAGAAAATTAGGTCAGTTTAGCTCCATTCCTCAGGGGTGTGAAAAATCCAGGTGGTGTTAAGCCACCCCTGTGTAGATAGTGCTTGGTCAATGGAAGAATTCTTCTGTTGATATAGTGACTGCCTCTCAGGGAGCTAGATTATCTATGCCAATGGGAGAAACCTCCCCTCAGCGTAAGTAGTGTCTACACTGAAGCACAACAGTTGCACCTCCAGCATTTTATGTGTAGACAAGCCCTTAGAAGTTAGATAGTTCATTATTAACTATTCCAAAGTCTCCACTATCACAACTTCAGAGGGAAGAAGTTTGATCAAAATTTTTATAATTCCATTATTTGATTGGTTATATTAGCCCTGTATTTGAATGAAATAGTTGAGGGTTTGGGGTTGGTGTTTTGTTGTTTGTAATTGTGTGATCCAGAAAATAGCATTTGTATATATAAATAGGGTTGTAGTCAAAGCTCTCAAAAGATTGAATTACTAACAGAATATTTTGAGGAAATCTTTCATTTATGGTCCAGAAACATTGGATATTTGAGTAATCTTGTCTAATTTTACTAGAATTCAATTAATATAAAAAGCAAATGTGACTGCTTGCTACAGATGCCTTCTATAAAAGTTTTGTTACCTAGACAACAATTTTGTTTTCATATTGCCAGAGGCCTAATTTGTGGCCTATTACATTGTCTGACTCTAAATAGCAGTTTGGACTTTGCTCACTATTTTTAAAACTATGAGAAGAGCAGTGACAATCACTCGAGGGGACTGTTTTGATTCTGTAGATTTTAATGGCATAGCAAAATCTAATTTTACAGGATTTTTTTAAAAAGCAGGTTTGGCTCAATTGTAGCATTAAAGTTTATTTTGGCTCATAAAAGTTAAATATTAGGCTAAGCATCTTGTACATTTTGACTTATGCTTAAAACTATTTTAGAAGTAAATATTTGGAATTAAGTGTCCAACTTCCCAATTTTAAAAAAATTAAGTACACACAGCCTTAACACATAGCCAACAGAGTGTTGGGAAATCATTAGAAAAAGGGATAGATAAGACAGAAAATATATTGCCTCTATATGAATTCAAGGTATGCCCAAATCTTGAATACTCTGCCTAAGCCTCATCATGCATACTTCTATTTTTAGTGCACTAGCTGGAGCCCTGCTAGCACAAACCTGTCTACCTGTGGTTGGAGGCTTAAGCCCAGCTACAGTATAGACATGCTGCTGCCCTCAGAGAAGATACAGGGCATGTCAGCATTGCCACACTCATTTCTAATCAAGTTAGATACTACTCAGAGCAGAACTCTCTTTACTAGCAAGCATTTAAGTTAACTCACCTAATGTGTTTAAGAATACAGCAGAAGAGATGCAGTCTTTCTTAAAGTACCCCACCCACTCCAAGTTAGTGGTTAGGAGATACTACACAATTGCTCAGCCCACAGGGGCTTTACATGTTATAAGTGATTGGTACTCTGAAACAGCCACCTGGTTCTACATTTCTGGAAAGGCTGTATTAGTTCAATATAGGGGAAAACTAAAGCTATCCTGACATACTAACCCACGTCTCTCCCAAGAATGGAACTGCCACCCTATTATGCCTTGAATTTGTAGTTAACATTTACAAGTCCAGCTAAGTATATGAAGAAACATTAAGTTACAATTAAGGATCCAAGGACTACATATCCCCCCTGAACACAAAAGCCATCCAAAGTGGATGTAGTCAGATTAAAAGCATTCTTCAAGCTCAGACAGAAAGCTCGGTACACTGCAGATATGGCTGCTGTGCAGTTGTTCACAACAGAGTTGAGGAATAGAGAATGTCACTTGGCAGAACTGAAATGATTAAGAATGTTGCTACATGCAGAGGAGTAGTGCCAACTTGTTTTTGACATGGGAAACTGATGTGGCAATATCTGAGAAGTCAGCCGAGACAGCAGTTCTAGCTTCCAAAAAAAGCTTGTGCTAGTTCCTTTGGCCCCACTTTGCTTACTGGAGTGCATCCAAGTGCTCTTTTGCCCTTTCCCCTTGGTGGAACTTAGGTCTTGAATTCCTCCCTGTCCACCCAGTTTTGTTTTGGCACAGAGTGTCAGACAGCCTAGACTCCATGGAGCTGTCCAAGCTTTCAAATAGATTTAAATAATGTGTATAAGAAGACACCTGCATGTAGTTCCTATTGTTAGCACTTAGGCTGACAGCACTCCATTTTAGTGAAATGAAGTGTTGTGTCTACACTGATAGTTGTAGAGTCAGCATTACACTAGTTTGACACCAACTAAATTAACATTGTCATGATATGAAAGGCAAGCACAAGTTCATTTATTTATAGCAAAGGTCTTGGTTACAAGAGGTCAGTCCTTGCCATCTTTAAGAGATATGGGATAAGTTATTGCATACATGTGCATTATAATTTAGCAGCAAGTCATTCATAAAAACATTTCCTTCCTACTGCTTTTTTGGTTTAGTGTCTAAATTTATATACAAATCAGCTTTACAAAGCATTTACCACCACCTTTAAGTTAATGGTCTTTTATTGGAAAAAAAGACTAGCATTTACAACTTGGAATGGACAAACTGTAATAGCTTGAACAGCGATGTTGATAGTTGTGCTGAAGTCCACAGGCTACTCTGCCAGCTCCAAGTCATGGTACAGAAGGTTTTAAAAATAGGAGAGAGTCCAAAGATGCTCCCTTGGTGAAGGTTTCTTTTAAAAATTTTGTGAACGGTAACAGCCTGACACCCGTTTCACTATAGTGCAATGCAGACAATGTTAAACCAATGTTATAACAGACATGCCACCCATAGTTAAGATCATCTTTTTTTGGAGCACAATGCTACATACAGGAGAACCATTCAACATTTAGGGCACTTTCCTCTAAATTTTGCATCCTTTGACCATTTTTGCTGCATACCATCCTGAGGTATAAACCAATTTTAAAGTAAACCAGCTATGACAATTTACACTACAAATTGAATTAGAATCCACTGTTGGACAAAATAGTCTTTTTTGGGGTTTGTTTTTTTTTTAAATTAACTACAAATGTCTGACTGTGCTCAATTGTCAAGCTGCATGCATGAAAAATTGGCCAGCCCAAACAGTGTAATAGTCATTAGCAAATGGAACTTGATGAGTTCACCAAGTGCTTCCTTTTTTTAATTTTTTTTTTTTTTTAAAGGTAGTACAGTTACTTGGATTGTAAAACTGATGTTTAACTTGATCTTTTGGGGACAGGACCACCAACCATTACATGCAGTTTGTGGACAGAAGGTATTTTGACATTCAGTTTTGCTATACAGAAACAGAATGAATAAATGAACATTTTTTTGCAAGAGGTAAGTAAAAGATTCAATTTGATTCTTCTAGAGGGGAAAAAGGTGAAAGGAGGTCTTCATTTTGCGGTCATCATCTGTACGAATTCTGAAAAGACAAAAACCACTGTGACTTTCTGTATCTTCAAAGTAATTTTAACTTCACAAGGAAATCTCTTAACTGCCCTTGGCATAAACTTTCCATGCATCTAAAATCTAAACAGAAAGCTCTGATCAAGTCTTTTCACTCAATAATGTAGATAGTTTAGTGAATTGTTAGAGTAATTCAAACTCCAAAATTATCAAGTTTTTTAACATCCAGCAAGCTTTACTTAAGAGTTTGTAAGTGATTGCACAAACAGAAGAGCATCTTTTTCTACCTTCATAGTTCACTTGTCCATCTCCATCGATATCTGCTTCTCTGATCATTTCATCTACTTCTTCATCTGTTAGCTTTTCTCCTAAGTTTGTCATAACATGACGTAGTTCTGCTGCACTGATATAACCATTGCCATCCTGTGAGGAAGATAGTTGCATAGGTTTGAAAATGACAATTCAGAAGACTGGAACATAAAGCCTAGCTGAGATGGTTCTACATTAAACTTATTCTCCCAGATGCCCTGAGGCATCAGTAACCTAGTACCCAGCCTGGAGGCCTGGTGCACTGTTCATCTTATCCAACCACAGAAAATGCTATAGTCATGCCTTCTAAAGCACAGAGGATGGAGCCATTACACAAGGAGGACTGCGTGTTCCAGAACAAAAGTGAAGTCTGCTATACTTATTTGGACCAGGTAAGTAGCCTTACCTGATTTGGTCTTTGTATGCCTCATACACATCTTTGACTCTTTCACCCAGGTAAGCACACACATCTACATTTGTATCATATTTATTGGTTTGGAGGTGTGATTTTCAGAAAGTGTCTGGAAGCATTCAGAACTTCTAAGAGTCTCCAGTACCCTGGAGAACAGAATGGTAATTTATCTTTTAATTTGGGTTTCTTTAATTTCAGTATGTCAGCCCAGTGTTTTCAATAACTTAATTCCTCCTGTCAACAGAATGCAAGAGCAGCAAGTTGACCTTTTGTAGCATCACATCCTCAACCAACTGCTGGTTTCCCTAGAGTGTCTTCCTGGGCAATAAGATCTAGAGTACACAAAGCACATTGAGAAATGATCCAAACTCCACCTACTAGCTGCAGTACAGAACCTAGAATGGCAGAGGAGGACTTGAAGCTGGTGTTCTCCAGTGTCCCCAATACTTGAGCTAGTGGAGAGAAACTGTTCTAGTAATGCTCTAGATCTATTCTGGATTTGGGTAATTATTTCTTTTAATAGCTATGGCTATTAAGGCTGTCCTGTTAAGTCTAGTGATGTGAAGATAGTTATCTTACACAATCAAAGGGGGGAAAACCATGCCCTCTGTCAAGTAGAGGGAAGAGGATGTTCTTGTGCTTATGTCTGTCTTTTGAGAAAAAATGGAGAGCCTCTGCTTCTGGTAACAAGCTTTCCATAAGCAGAACAGAGAGACTACTAAGCTTCACCTCCTCATACATATTAGGAGTTGAACAGGGGATCTCAACTTTATGAAAGGTCTACATACAGGTGAGCAAAGCCCTCTGCACCTGTTTTCAGATACTTTAGATCATGAGACTGGGGGGGGGGGGGGGAGAAGGGAGAAAGAGTGGAGACACCTTTCATACTGAAATAGGTAACAAGTCTAATCATCCCAGCTTCTTGAGAGAAGGGCTACCAGGGATTCCAGCATGAAAGAGCCTCAGCTGCCACCACGCCTCCCCCCCGGCCAGTTCTCCTGGCGGAGCAGTTTCAGCAAGCCTACTCTATAATATCCAAAATAAGTTTTCCTCCTGCTGCTGGTAGAAGGGCTTATACCCACCTTCCAGGCAAGCACAGGGCAATGCTAGGAGTAAGAGGCTCATCATTAAAAACTGTTCAAAAAAAGTCTGAAGCTTTGGATTCTAGCAGTACCTTGTCAAAGACTCTGAATGCCTCACGGATTTCTTCCTCGCTGTCAGTGTCCTTCATTTTTCTGGCCATCATGGTTAAGAACTCAGGGAAATCAATAGTGCCATTGCCTTAAACACAGAAATGAATCTGTACTTTAGAGTCCCATCATTTCCCTGATACCAAAGCTAGCTTTAGAGTTAGGAAGGGACAAGTCTCATTACTGATCAAGTATTTAAGAGCTACCTTCCATTTTTACACTAAAACCAGAGAAGCTTCCAAGAACTTTGTAAGTGGTCATGCTTAGGTCACTCCTCTTCCCCTAAAATGCTAATATAGCATTTTTAGCTCTAGTATGCTCAAGCAACCACTGAAAACATGGAAGTAATGAGGACTATTGTATGGACTGCTACTTTCCCTCCAGACCCACACCCCAGAATTCATCAATTCATCATCCTAGGGGCTATATTTTGACCATGTCCATTTACTGTTAAAAGTGGTTTAATGCTGGCAAAACAAGGCATCAGCTCCTGCTAAGGTCCCCTTGCCTCACTGGACTATTGACAGATGGCTAACTGGGATCAGTCTGGTTCATGTGTGTCAGTATTGTTAAAATATGTATTAGAGTTAGAAAAATTTGCTTATTGTTTAATGCATGCAGCAACTTAAAAGCATTCAATAAAGTCTAATCTCACCTATAACATCTGTATCCCATATTATAAGGCAATGCTTGAGCACTTGCACTGTGAGCGCCTAACTGCACAAGTCATCAGACAGGAGAGAAACATTAACTACGACAGGTTTCAGAGTAGCAGCCATGTTAGTCTGTATTCGCAAAAAAAAAAAAAAAAAAAAGGAGTACTAGTGGCACCTTAGAGACTAACAAATTTATCTGAGCATAAGCTTTCGTGAGCTACAGCTCACTTCATCAACTTCATCCGATGAAGTGAGCTGTAGCTCACGAAAGCTTATGCTCAGATAAATTTGTTAGTGGCACCTTAGAGACTAGTACTCCTTTTCTATTAACTACTATGAAATGCGAAGGTGTTTATCATGCCCAACAAAGAAGGCCCATTGATATATTCTACAATAGTTCATCCAGTGTCAAAGAGGACAAGAGACTGTCGATTGCTCACTTTCACAACTTTTGTTGATCATGAGGAGCTGAAGAGAGAAATTCTTTCATCAGATAAATTTGCAGCTCAAAGCACAAGAGAAAAGGGAATAAAAATCCCTAACAAGGAGGAACTGTATCTATATGCTGTTGGGGCTCTGAGGGGCAAGGATTACTAAGCATAAGCAAAAGATCCCCAGCGTTTAACCTGGATTAGTTCTTAAGGACATACAGAAGTTGTTCATTACAGCTTATTTTTTGAAACAATTGGAACTTTTATATGTGTATGTGCACCTTAACCTTGTAAATAACTCTTTTATTAATACGTCTTTAATTTATTATAGGATTGGCTACAAGCATGGTCTTTGGTGAGAGATCTAAGGTACAACTGACCTGAGATAAATGGACTGGGAGTAACTTGAATATTGCTGTGATCCTTGGTGTAAAGAACCATCTATCACAAAGGTAAGCTTACCTGGGTGGCCAGACAGATTGAAGCACCCAAGGCAACTATCTGTGACTACATGTTAAGGCTGTTCTACTGCCTGAGAAGTTTACACTTGGTAACTGGTTGGTGAAATCTACATATAGAACTCACAACCAATTTGGGGTTTGTGCCCCATTTCCTCACAGTCTGCCCCGATGCTGGTACCCAAAGTCTTGTGTCAAGCCATCCTGCTGTGGCACATCTATTACATCAAGGTTTGCACTCATGTTTTATTAGCCTTGTTGCTGTTCTAACAGTTTCCAATCTTGGTTTTTTAGTGTTTAAGAATTCCTTTAGAGGGCCAACAGTGTTTAGACAGCTATATTGATTTTGAAGCTTACTTTTACGTCACATAACAAAAAAAAAGTTACCCATTTTCAATTCTTGGAAGATTCTTAATGGTTGGCACAATCTGTCAATTAAGTTGATTGCCACCCCAAAAAGAGATTAAAGTAGATTGCAAGCTTTTAAGAAGTGTCCATTGTAGGGGGTTATGGCACATCATCCTAGTACAAAAAGTAGCACAAGTTAAATTTAATTAAAGGGATAGAATATGCTCACTATATTGGAGCCCTGAGATTCAGACTCATTTAATTTTCAGGCTAGATTTCATGACACTGATTAGTGACTTGTCTAATTCTTCTATTACACTTGCCTCAGCAACCAAAAGTGGAAGGTGATTCTTTGACACTTGTGCCTTAAGCAATTTGCAAGTAATTGTATCCTGCACTTCACAAGTAGTTTTGGTTTTGAGTCTCTTCACAAAGGTCAAATAATCACTTCCCCTTTCAATACACTTTATACCCTTGTCAGAGACACTAAAGAATTTGCTATTATATTGGTAATACCATAGTAGTTAAAATTTTCCTCTCATGACAGAGCCAGTATGAAACACCTTCCCTTTGCACATCCATGAATCTGAAGCAAGTTTTGAACACAGTTCTTGTGTTACCCTTTCTGGCATCCATTTACTTAAGTCAATCTCCCTATCAGTCTACTAAATAAAGCCTAACTCCTAACCCAGTTTAAGAGAAGAGGAAAAGAAGTCAGTTTTTACTACATGGCCAATACAATGGATTAAAATATATAAATTAAAGATTAAGTTGCCACTGAGACCAATATGGGATGGGTAACTGAATAGGTAGGGGAAAGCTACTTGGTACTCCAGTGAACTATAGGTTGCAGTAATTCAAGAGGTGGAAAAAAAAAAACCAAGTTTTTGATGCGGAAGGAAACTGAACCCTGGATAGAAGCAGCGAGCAGGACACAGATGCAGAAGCCCTGATCAGTATTATATTTTGACTCTGACTATCCCATATTCACATGCCTACTGGTATAGTTAATGACAATAACTATGTTCATATTAAATTTAATGTGAAATCAAGTGGTTGTTTTATGTAGATAGGTAAAAAAACCAACCCCACCCCCACCCCTACACTGTTTTTGGACCAGATTTTAATGGAATACTGTCAAAGGAAAGAGGGGGACTTTAGAGGCTGCATTACCCAGCTCAAACCCAAGCTTGTACGGTGTGCACACTCACCATGAGTAAATCACTGCCAACTGCATCTTCCCCACACTTACCATCAGCATCTACCTCGTTGATCATATCCTGTAATTCGGCTTCTGTTGGGTTTTGACCCAATGACCTCATGACAGTCCCAAGCTCTTTTGTTGTGATGGTGCCATCACCATCTTTGTCAAATAGGGAGAAAGCTTCCTTGAACTCTGAAGACAGAAACAGCCCAATCATTAAGTACTATGACCACCATCAAAACAGTACCAAAATAATACTTTGTGACAAGACTGACCCCAATGTCCATGCTGTAGGATTTTAAAATGCACTTTGTCTGCAGTCTGTACTAGAAGACTAGTGTTTTTAGACTTGTATTTTCTGACAAATGTATCACAAGTCCAAGCCACTGCCCTCTAACCACACTCCCTAGCCTGTACATTACATCAGGCTGTGCAAGTTTTGGATAAGTACATGCTACCCTGTTTATGAGCGACCCAGTTGGGTCAAGTTCATTTCTCATCAATAGCAGTTATTTGTGGAATACTCTGAGCAAAGATTAGAGAAACAAGGGAGTTAGCCAGACATGCCTGACAGAGATGCCTTTGTCATTTATCAGTTATTTTTGAATTACTAAAATGATAATAGTGAGCAACGAATAAATTAAATAGGCTCCCAAAAGTTTAGACCCCATGCTTTACCCTCTTAACCATTTCCTCTAATTTAGAAAGGCAGTGTTAGATTAGAGATGATTTAAGAGGAAAAAAAGTTTCCTTACATATGTTGCCAACACAAGAGAACTCAAAAGTTTTAAAGATTCTGTTGATTTGGCTTGTGAAAGCAAATGGTAGCACGTGTCAGTTCCACTTTCAATCTCAGGAAAGATTGAACTTTTGGAACGTTGCAATATTTGGATTCCAAACTTTGGAAGGGATTATTTAGCTTCGTTTTGAATTAACTGGATTTTTAATATTTCTATAAGATTTGTTTTTAAAAGTCACACCAGACCTAGGTGCTGGGCCTCAATTATCCAAAGAAGTGTTCCTTCAGCTTCTTTAAACACAAAATTTCCCAAGTGAAATAAGAGGGAAGAGCAATTATGTGCCAAAACTTTTAGAGACTTAATGCAGATTGAATATCAGTCAACAAGCAATACAGGCAAACTCAGGAGAGAACATCCAGCAGTGTTTTAGAGATATTTTCCAACATTCAAAGGAGATGTTGGCTCTCTTTTGGCTCACCAATTTTCTTAATTGGGATACTTACCAGCAATTTGTTCTTCAGTCAGCTGATCAGCCTACATGAAGAGTAGAAAAGTTATTTTAGAAAATGGTTTTCCTATAGCTCTGTCAAGCCATGGAGATGCAATACAGACTTCGTAAGGAAGTTTAATGTATTACCTTTATACTGCACCTTTCAGTCCCAGAAATCCAGGAGTACTCAATACACAGAAGAATGATTTCACCCACCAATGGCGTGCAGCAACATCTAAGACTCAGTGTAATAGCTAATGCTACAAAGAGACTACACATTTTAGGACTAGTTAAGAATGCCATAGCCAGATCAAGTTTATGGAGAAATCCAATATGGCCAAGTTTAAGGCACAAAGCAGAAATCCCCTAGTGATTCAACATAACCCAAGTGTTTCCTGGAGATATTCCATCACAATATTGACCTAGCAGTTTTTTAGCTTGCGATAGGATAATACCATGATTGCAAGATCTGGATTTATGCCATGTTCTTAGAATTACATGCTTTTCTGTCAACATCTCATTTGTTATGCCTTTTAACTAAAGTAACAGTTCCATTAGGTAGGAATGTTACCATGCAATGAAAGGTCTCTGTTAAGCTATAATTTCTTAGGTTTATGCCATTTACAATATGTAAATACTGTGTCTTGAGACCACCAATACATCTGAAATCAGCAGATAACTGCATGTGTGTTTTGTTGGGCCCATAATGGAACCAAACATGTTCCTTTAACACAAGACATTTCATCCTTCGCTTCAAAAAGGGTTTTATTTTTAACCACCCCCAAAAAAGCTCTCTCCATCCCACAGGTTCAGAGAACAATATATAACAGAGTTCAAAACGGAACTAGGCAAGTTCATGGAGGATAGGCCCATCAGTGGCTATTAGCCAGGATGGACAGCGATGGTGTCCCTAGCCTCTGTTTGGCAGAAGCTGGGAATGGGCGACGAGGGATGGAGCACATGGTGATTACCTGTTCTGTTCATTCCCTCTGGGGCACCTGGCATTGGCCACTTTCTGAAGACAGGATACTGGGCTAGATGGATCTTTGGTCTGACCCAGTATGGCCATTCTTATGTTCTAAGAACTGTGTAGACCCTTTATCTTCCTTTAGAGACAGGAAAAACCCACCTAATTGGTTTCAGTATTTTTAGAGGATTGCATGGTACCAGGTTAATCATATTTGGTTTCCTAGCACCCTGTGCTTTTAACTCTATTGTTTTAATAAAAATAAATTTTTACACCAAATTGAGAAACAAAAACATAACAAAAAGTTTAACTGATCAGTTAGGAAGGATACCAAGATGCTTATAATTTCTCCTGTGAAACAGCAATAATTTTAAGTCTGGCGCAGTTAGCTACACTAACGTAGCTCTTTTTATGAGGAAATTGTGTCAAATGCTAGTGTGAAATAAGCTGTATATTTGTTACACTCTGTGTTGGTCTCTGGACAATGGGGTTGAAAGGTTGTGTACATTAAATATATATACACACACCCAAAAGCACTTCCATCTGTAGTTAGACTACTTTTATGGATAATATTACAAAAGGATAGTGATTGAAAGAAATTATTTCTACTAATTATTTAATTGGAGCCTCATATGGACAAAGCTTTTGTGTATGTGTTTAAGAATATTAAAACATAACTGAGGGTATGTGGGCCAGGGTTCACTTTGTATTAACCCCACCCTCCTCACTACAGTCCCAGTAAAGAGATTCTCTTTTAGTAAGTGAAACAGAAAAGGTCATTTACATAGCATGACATATCAGAGCAATGCTCTGCAGAACAGGAAATAGAGCCACACCTCAATAGAGAGGAACTCAGATCCCCAGCACCAGTTTGAAGCCCCCCCCCCCCCATTTGAAACTTACAATATTCTGGTCTTCAAGCAGCATTTATGTCTATTTTTAAAAAGCTGACCTTGCAGGTGATCCAGTTCACCCTCCTAAGCAACAGGCACAAACACTGTCTGATCACCCGAGCTACCAGGGCAAATGTACCTACACCAGAGAAATCACCCCACCCAGCCAAGTCATAAAATCCTGTCCCAGTGATCTCAGCCTTCGCCCAACAGGAAGGGGGAAGTGGAGGGGGTAGGGTGGGGAACACCCAGCATGGCCCACAATCATATTTGGTAATCTGCACCCCAGCTTTCACGGCTCCTATAGGAAGCAAAAACTGCAGGGAGGGGAGACTCTCTCCACCCAGTGTCATTAAGAGTCCAGGGTTGCAGTCCAGCAACCCGATGTTCAGAGCAGACCGAACAGAGGCAGACCCCACAGCCTAGTCTATGCACAAGTGATGCACTTTTAAAGTAAACATGGATAGCACGGATGTTAAAAATCCAGGTCAGTGTGAAAGAAAACCCAAGGAAGGCGAGCCCCTCTTCTCCTAGAGCGCCACAGGCGCCCCTCCCCACCAAACCACGGGATCAGCAGCCATGTACTGCAGCAGTACCGCCCGCCCCCCAACAGAAGCAGCTACTCTCGCTATTGTCCAATATCCCGTCTTCGTCCCTTGGTTAGGAGCGTGATTCAAGTGTGGAATCTCTCTGCCATCCCCAGACGCCTGCCCATCCCCTTCAGCTCCCAGGTCCCCCTGAAACCCCTCATTCAGGGAGCCAAGCAGCTACTCCTCAGGAGCCACCCGTTCCCACGCGCATCCAGAGTCCTGTCTCCCATGAGGAAGCCAGGCCCCTTCCGGAAAGATAAAGGCTCCAGAGGTGTAGCAGCTGCTCTCCTCCCACTAACCCCTAGCAGAAACTGGGAAGTTTCTAATGGAAACGACGCACACTGCGGCCCTCTCTCTCCCTCCTGGGGCTGGCGAGGAAGAGGAGGAGACATGATGTAATGCAGCCTGCGAAGGATTTTGCCGTTACTGCGTTTAAGGATTGGGGGGTAAAAGCGCAGCAGCCGCAGAGCCCTCGCCTCCCCCACCCCAGCCACCCTGCGCAGTGCAGCTGGTGCTGAAATTGGGATTGGTACCTTCATCCCTAGTGCCCCCCTCCCCGCCCAGCTCCCGCCCCCCTCGGGAGCCCTAGTCCCAGCCCGAGCGGGGAGGGGGGCAGGGAGCCTGGGGGTGCCCTCGCCCACCCCAGCAATGGAGGGAGGGGCTCTGCTGTCCCCCGCCCCGCTAAGGGGAAGGCCACCCACGTCCGGCATCCGCCCCTTCCCACCCAGGGGCGCTGGGCAGAGCCCCGGAGCAGCAGCTGCAGCCGGCGGCACAGGGCGCCCCGCACCTCCTGCCCCAGCGGCGGCTCAGCCACTCCTCTCCCCCGGCGCTGCAGCGCAGACTGCCCGCTCCGGGGCGGCATCCCAGCCAGCCGCCCCAGGCACCCTGCTGGCACCGCCAGCTGCCCAGCGGGACCGGCCCCAGCACTCGGTAAGGGGAGGGAAGCGGGCACTGCCAGCAGCCGCGGGAGTGACAGCTTCCGAGCCACCGCGTCCCGCAGCTCCCAGCCCACGCGGAGAGCGAGCGGCAGCGGGTCCCATCGCTGCGCGATGCAAGGAACCGCGGCCACGCGGCGCAGGGAAACAGCCTGGGGGAGGGGGGGTCTGCAGGCTTCAGCCCGGCTGCCCAGTCTCGCCTCACACTGGGGGGGGGGCGATCAGCCGCCCCCCTAAACCCCCGCCGCTCACCCACCCCGCTGCTGGGTCCCCTGCAGCCCCTAAGCCAGCCTCGCTCCCACCCAATTCCCCACTGCGGGTGGGCAAGCAGAGGAAGCCGGGCTCCAAGCCCAACGCCACGCGGCTGCTCCAGCCCCTCGCAGCGGCAAGGAAGCTCAGCAGCAGCTCGTCACAAGCCAGCCATCTCCACTGCGATGGCAAATCCAGATGCGTCCAGCCCCCCTCCCCCCGTCCAGGCCAGCTCCAAAGTCTGCCCTACCGGCCGCTGCACGCCAGCTACCTACCATTGCGCGGGGTGGCTGGGTTGGGTTGGTGCTGCTACACTGGCTGCTCGAGCAAAGGAGCAGGAGCTGCTGCGGCTGCTACCTCCTCCGAGCGGCTCCCCCCTGACAAATGCTGTAGGTGTGAGCCTGCACCTCCCTGCTATATATGTAGGGCTGTATCCCTCCGCCGGAGCAGCGCCTCTCTCTCTTTCCTCCCAGCCTCTGCCTGTGTGAGAGTGACTGCAGCGGGCAGCCCAGCCCCCATGCTCAGCCCCTCCCCGCCAGGCTCACTCCCCTCTGCCAGCCCAGCTGGCAAGCGGGGCAGGCTTTCCCTCTCCCCAGCAGGCGCCGTGCAGGGACAGCAGCGCACGCTGCCTGCCAGGGGTGCAGCACACGCTCACCAGCGGTTAGGCATGGATTGGCCGGATTTAATTCAGCTATAGAATGATCTCTCACCAGGGCGGCCCCCGGGCATCTGAGGACCCTGGGGGTGGCAGGTGCTTTGTTACCCAAACCCTCAATCAGAAGTCCCACAATGGAAGCAGCGGTAAGAGCCACATTCTCGACATATTATACAGGTGGCAGCAAAGAATGAATGGTCAGGAAGGTGAAAGTGTTTTCACAATCCTGGAAAGACTGTGCAGTCCCCTATTTGATGCTCATAGGGGCTCATGTGACACCCATTCAACCCTTTCTTTGTGCCATGCTGTAAACGGGCGCTCTGCTGTTTTATTTATCCCTTTTCCCAATCTCATCAGCCTCCACTGCAATAGTTTAGTGGAGAGGAGGAGGGACAGGGAGCACACACTTGCCAATGTCTAAATTTTAGCCATTTCCATCTGTTCACCTGTGCTCTGAATCAAAGTGTAGTAGGTAGGGAAAGAGCTGCAAAATTGTGTCACCTTTGAAATGCACTAAATAGCACAAAGTGGTATATAAGGGAAAAAATGATTTCCCGCTGGAGACCATACCGTCAAAATCCTCCTTCACAGGCTTTATCCCCTCTCCTCTACAAAATTAAAACCTGGAGAGGATTATAGGATTTAAAAAAACAAGAAACAAACAGCATTACTTCTGGTTTCAGAGTAGCAGCTGTGTTAGTCTGTATCCGCAAAAAGGAGTACTTGTAGCACCTTAGAGACTAACAAATTTATTTGAACATAAGCTTTCCTGAGCTACAGCTGACTTCATTGGATGCATTCAGTGGAAAATACAGTGGGGAGCTTTATATACATAGAGAACATGAAACAATGGGTGTTACCATACACACTGTAAGGAGAGTGATCAGGTAAGAAGAAAAGGAGTACTTGTGGCACCTTAGAAACTAACCAATTTATTTGAGCATAAGCTTTCGTGAGCTACAGCTCACTTATGCTCAAATAAATTGGTTAGTCTCTAAGGTGCCACAAGTACTCCTTTTCTTTTTGCGAATACAGACTAACACTGCTGTTACTCTGAAACCTGATCAGGTAAGGTGAGCTATTACCAGAAGAGGGGGGGTTGGGGGGGGCGGGAACCTTTTGTAGTGATAATCAAGGTGGGCCATTTCCAGCAATTGACAAGAACAAATGAGGAACAGTGGGGGAGGGGGGAAAATAAACATGGGGAAATAGTTTTACTTTGTGTAATGACCCATCCACTACCAGTCTCTATTCAAGCCTAAGTTAATTGTATCCAGTTTGCAAATTAATTCCAATTCAGCTGTCTCTCGTTGGAGTCTGTTTTTGAAGTTTTTTTGTTGAAGAATTGCCACTTTTAGGTCTGTAATCGAGTGACCAGAGAGACTGAAGTGTTCTCCGACTGGTTTTTGAATGTTATAATTCTTGATGTCTGATATGTGTCCATTTATTCTTTTACGTAGAGACTGTCCAGTTTGGCCAATGTACATGGCAGAGGGGTATTGCTGGCACATGATGGCATATATCACATTAGTAGATGTGCAGGTGAACGAGCCTCTGATAGTGTGGCTGATGTGATTAGGCCCTATGATGGTGTCCCCTGAATAGATATGTGGACACAGTTGGCAATGGGCTTTGTTGCAAGGATAGGTTTCTGGGTTAGTGGTTCTGTTGTGTAGTGTGTGGTTGCAGGTGAGTATTTGCTTCAGGTTGTGGGGCTGTCTGTAAGCAAGGGGCTGTCTGTCTCCCAAGATCTGTGAGAGTGATGCGTCGTCCTTCAGGATAGGTTGTCTGTCTGCTCTGTCTGCCACTACTCCCCTGTACTCTGTCCAATGTGCAGGAAAAGGGAACTTGGGAGAGGGCTGACTGTCCAGACAGGAATTTACATTTCTCAAGAAAACTTTTTAGGACTATTTGATTAAAAGGAGTCGGATATGCCTGGAGTTTGAAGGAGAAGGTAAAACTGGGGTGCAGGGAGTGGGCATGTCTATGATTGCCTTTTTTCAAAATAGGGTAACCAGATGTCCCGATTTTATAGGGATAGTTCTGATATTTGGGGCTTTTTCTTACATAGGCGCTTATTACTCCTCACCCCGTATCCTGATTTTTCACACTTGCTATCTGGTCACCCTATTTCAAAACCATATTTTTTTTGTCAAGAAACAACTAGATCACAATAAAGTCCTGACCCAGAATCGGATTGTCTACTAATGATTTAGCACTAGGATCCCTTCCCCACAAAGGTCCAATGTACTACAGACGAGAGGCATCACCATACTGTCCATGTCCTGATTCCAAAGTGCATGGCTTCTCTGCACTAGCCCTACATCTATTTTTTGTGGTTTGTTTCCTAATGTGGTATAAAATATCCCTGATAAATATTTTATATGCATTCGCACCATGTATTCTGTACCTGTATGGAGACTTAAGAGTAGAGATGGGTCTAAATTAGGATGTAGGATGTTGGTTCCATTCACTAAAAGGTACCCTCTGGATTTGAGCTCATTCTCATAGCTCAAGATTTTATATCTGAGGTTTGGGTTTGGGCCCATCTTTTAAAAGGAGAGTGTCAGATACTTCCAATAAGTGTCTCAGTTCTGATTTGTTTGTAATATCTTCTTAAAAGCCTTAAAATACAATTTTTCCTTATTGATTTTTGCTTTTCTTTTTGAAAAACCTCATTTGCTTCTAATGTTTTAAATAAAGGCAAAAACAGGTTGTTGTTATTGTTTAACAACACATTTTTGTTATGTAACTATTTATTTGTTATTTGTTATTTGTTTATTTATTTGTTATTTCTATGGAATGGAACAGTAGATTTGCACACACAACCTTTAGATATTTAAGATCTGGAAGACTTTCCCCAACAGATTCAACAGTAGCTTTTTAATATGTCACATTTTGGTCCCAAAACTTTAGTAACAGTCCTGTAAGATGCAGTATTTGAAATAGTGTCAAAAATCATTTGCAACTAAAGATTTCACAAATAGGGGGTGGTTTTACTTAAGCTGCAGAATATGTTTTTACTACTAATCACAAAAGTTTTATTTCTTGCAGAGGAAAAACATGAACACTGATCTTTTGTTTACAAAGCTAGAGCAACAATTTTAAACTATTATTTTCTTATTCTTCCTATGATACATAGCAGAATCTTCAATTGGCCTGGGCTGCTGGAAAATATTTTGCTTGGATAAGTGAGTCTTGGATATATGAGTCTTGTAGGATGTCTGAAAGAAGAATGTTAATGTACAAATACTGTCCTTATTCAGATAAAGTTCTCGTTTATTGGATCAAGAATCATACTCAAACATTGGATTAAGGGATTTGCATGATTATCCTCTGACGTCAAATATTAAGTCCAATCCTGCAGTTTTTGGCCAAAATTTTGAAATGTGGGAGCTTGAAATTAATAGCTGCAGGGTATGCTTAGGATCTCTGAAAGTCAGACTACGTGTGTATTTGCCTAAATATAAATGTAGATGCCTAACTTTAGTCCCATGTCTGTAAGTTTCCCTTTTTGTGCACATATGTTCTCCATTGATGTAAAAACTTAGTCCCATTAAAAGTGATGGGAGTGAGGTGTACACATCGATCAGGGAATGTGTGTGGAATATATGGAATTAGACAAAATGAAAATAATCTCAAAGAATATTAATATTATAATGTTTAGTACTTCTGTGAAGAAATTCAGAAATGCTGTAGTAAAATACTACTAAAAGCAATACTCACTTGCCAAAGATTAAATAAAAAGACTTGGAGAGGAAGGGTTATTGTATATTTATGTATAAATCATTTCACAAATTTACTTTTTTAAATCTTTACCTTGTTCATGGCTGCTTATACTAAATATGTATGTTATATATACCAGTTTATAATAAAATAGTATTTTAAAAATAAAGTTACATTTGTGTATTTTTAATATAGGTGTCTCATTTTACTTTAGGATGGAACAGCTTCAATTTTAATAATCAAGAGTCAGTTCTGATCTGTAATAGTTTCTGCAAAATTGCATGATTCTGTATTTGAAAATCTTGCAATGTTAATCCTCAAAATAACGTTCTTACTTACTCTAAGCCCTATCATCTGTCTAGTCCTTGCAAATTTGCTTTCACCTGATTGTACAGCTATTGTACAACTAAGTCTTGATCCTGTATTTCTTGTGCATCTAAAACTTAGGGCTTGTCTAGACTACCGTGCGGGGTTGATCTAAGATATGCAACTTCAGCTACGTGAATAGCATAGCTGAAGTCAACGTACTTAGATCTACTTACCGCGGTGTCTTCACTGCGGTAAGTTGACAGCTGATGCTCTCCCATCTGCTCTCCTTACACTTCTCTTTCTGGTGGAGTACCGGAGTCGACGGGAGAGCGGTTAGCAGTTGATTTATTGTGTCTATACTTACTCTGAGAGTTTGGGCATGCAAGGAATGCAGGATTATTCCCTAGTTTGACTAACATACAAGAAGGTCAAATGACTTGCCCAAGATCTTACATATAAACTGATCCAACTCCAACTGAAGCCAAAGGGAGTCCTTCCATTGCCCGCAATGGGAGCTGGATTGGGTCAGTAAGTCAGGCAATGTTTGTGTATTTTGTGTATTGTGAATTTAGTGCCCCACAGCTATTAGTTTTTTTGCTCTGGACAGTAAGGTAGGCTATGACTGTTATAATGAATAAACTATTTATGACTGGGCGACATTTGCTCTTTTAAATTGTTATTACTACATGATTTAATTATCTAATACTTTTACTGATTAAAAATGTATAATTTGTAATATTAGCAAACTATTACTGTAGCTATACTAGT